CTCATGAGCCAAACACGTTCGGCGAGGACTGGCTAAAGCCACTGCCCGTGCTGCAGGTAACCTGTGTAATTAATGTGTGCTCAGACAGAAAAGCATTATTGTCTAATTAAAACATCGTTGGAGAGGGAAGAGCCTTCCCTTCCCAGCTCTGATCTGAGCCAGTCTGTCCAGCCTGGTTAGTCCCTAAAACCTCCCTGTCTCTGTTCCCTGTTGAAATACTTGCTCTCCAGGGGTTAAGGCTTCAGTCAGGGAAGTTCCCGAAGGCGTGGGAAGTTCTCAGATAAAAGGGTGCTTCCAGTGGGCAGGGACTTGCTGGTTATTGGGGTGAAGCTGTGCTGAAGATGCTGCCGGGTGACACGGGGCGCAGGGGAGGGGGAGCGAGGTGGGTGCCTGGGTGGGCACAGACCTGCCCGCTCCCCCTGGGGCTGCTCGGGCACCCGAGGCTCAGGCAGGACAGGGGGGCTTCCCACCAGAGCTTGCCTGACCTTTCTCCTCTGGATTAAGATGCAAGAGGGTGAGTAGGAGGCACAGGTGCCCCATGGGCTCTGTCCCCAGCCACGTCCTGCTCGGCTGTGCCAGCCCTGTCCTGCCTGGGGGCTCTGCCACCGGCTCTGTCTGCATCAGTTACCGTGGCTGCTCTGAGCCATGCTGGGAACTGCCTCAGTTTCCCTTCTCCAGGGGCAGGGCCAGACTTCTTGGGGAGCAGGTTGAGCGCAGAGCTGGGAGCAGCAGCCGCTGGTGGCACTGGTGCAGGTGAAGTGTCAGGTTCTGCTTTGGGCTTCGCAGCTGGGCAGGGACAGACACAATGGGACTGGGTGTCACCAAGATCCCCCTGGGACAGGCAGGGTATCCTGAAAGTGGTTGGAAGCTGGGAATTTTCTGCTCTTGTATCACAGCACAAAGCAGCCACAGACCCGTGGTGGGGGCGGAGATGTGGGCTCCTCTGGTGGGGCTGCTGCTTGGATGTGATCCCGTGGCTCCTGGCCCCAGTGTGGATGGTGCTGGGACACTGCAGAGACTGACCTGGGCTCCCACAAGAGCAGAAATGTTGCCGTGGGGTTTGCAGGGCTGGGAACAGACCCAGGGAGCTCGCTCTGCATGGTCCTGCAAACGGGGGACACACCAGTGACACCAGCAGCCCCCTCGCTCCCACCGGGGGTTTCCTCCCCAGTGACTCTGTGGGTCCCACGGAAGGGGTGGATGGGGGTGAAATCTGTGGGGCTCAGAGAGACAGAGGGTGAGACCCACTGCGGGAGGAGGGGGTCCTGGTGTGAAGAGGGAGATGTGGCTGCCAAGTTGAAGTTCACCCCATTTCCGGGAAGTTGAGTCATCTTGGTCCCATCCCATCTGGGCCACCCCACGACCTGTGCTGAGGAGTGGGGACACCCCCCCTCACAGCCTAGGGCAATGTCTCTGTGTCCCCAGAAAGCACCCAGGCACTTTGGGGCTGTCTCCAGAGGGTTTTCAGGGCCCATAGGCATCTCCTTTTCAACATCTTGGTGGCCACTTGGGTACTTCAAACCTTTTACGGTTTGTTGGTTTAGGCTTTGTTTTCAAATGGAACCAAAATGTGCAGTTTTCTCTTGGGGGTGGCAGAGCACCCACTGCAGGGTCTGCACCAGGCTGGGCAGAGCCGTGGAGGTGACATGGTGACCCCAGGGAGGGCAGTAGCTGGCCAGAATATGGGATCCCCCCCTGCACATCCCCCTCCAGAGCATCCCAAGAGACCCCCTGCTCAGGGGGCTGCACCACAAGGGTCCTAGCAAGCCCTGGGGGACACTGAGCACTGGCTGGTGTCCCAGGGAGCCCAGCAGGACCCTGCTGCACCTGACTCGTGTTTTCTCTCCCCAGAGCTCAGCCCCGTGGTGGTGTTGGAAGAGTCTCCCCATGGCTGCAGCGGGTGGTGAGGGGCTGGCACAGACCCCACTGCTGTGGGTGGGCGCTGCCCTGGCCCTGCTCGGCCTCCTGGTCTACCTGGGCGCCCTGTGTGCTGCCTGCAGACGGTACCCACTGCCCCTCTGCCCTCCCTCCTGCTTCTGGGGACCCCTCGGGGCCATTGGGTGGCTGCACGTGGAGACCCTGTGCTGAGCTGGGACTTGCTGGGATCTGCTGCTTTGCTTGCCCCAACCCCCTGGCTGCAGCCCCGGTGCAGCCCTACCCGGCCCAACCCTGCACCTTGGCCGCCCTCACTCACCCCTTGCACCCAAAGGAGCTGGTCTCAGCTGGGGATGGGGGAAGTGGCATCACTGGAGCAGCCTGGAGATGGCAGGGGTGTTGCTGGGGATGCCTAGGAGGGCTCAGCAGGGTGCAGGATGCAACCAAGCCCTTCCCTTGCCAGCAAAGGACCCTCCTGTGTCTGGCGAACGGGCAGGGTTGTGGGTCTGGGGGTGCTGCTGCTCCAGCGAGGGGCACACAGCAATGCCCACCCTGGCCAGGTCAGGGTCCTGGGACACCCTCTCCTCGACCCTGCCTTGGCCTCGACCTGCCTGGGGCTCATCCTGCTTCTCCCCGCAGCAAGGGCAGGAAGAAGAAGGTCCCTCCAGATGGGGTGAAGCTGGTGGACGAGGTAAGCACGTTCTGGGGACCAGCCCCGGAGGAG